AAGTGCCTTACTAGTAGTAACAGGTGCCTTACTAGTAGTAACAAGAAGCTATGAACTTAGCGAACATGGATTGTTGCTATTAGGTTGGAGGCCATCGCTATTAGGTTAATTGGCTAGTAATTAGGTTGGAGGCCATCGCTTATAGGTTTGTATCCAAGCTGAAGCTTGTTGGCCTCATGTCGACTCCTTTGTTCGATTCAATTCGTATCTGGATGTTAACCGAGTTTTCAATGGAGGGCCTCGTACACAAAGTGAATCACCTTCAAAGTCTTGGCTGCAGTTGTTAGTCGGACCAGCAATATATTATAGCTGCTATAGCCCCAACGAAACCTTCACATTTAGAAACATGCTCATTGCTCATGGTGTTGGAAACAGGAGCACGCGTCTTTCAAGAGCGGGTTCCAAATCCAGCAAACTGGTGTGCATTTTATATAGCTACTTGAAGCAAGCAAAGCAAGGCACGTTTGTTTCCCTAATGCCTGGCTTCGCTCTTGGCTCAATACTACGTAGCGCTATGAGAAGGCCATTGGCCTGAAATGCTGAACGCTCCCAACGCTAGATGTTCACGGTGGACCTGGTATAGTATGCATGTTTCTGTCTCGTGTTCCTGCGTTCAATCTAAGTCTTGTCCCTGTTGTCAAACCTTTTCGCACCTTTTTCGCTTTGCCCTTTGGTCCAAAAGTTTTACTTTGCTGTTTTGGAGGGCATCGCTCTTAGGAGCAAGGACGCTACTAGGGGCTCCTGGCATTGCTACTAGGAGCAAAGACGCTTCTAGGGGCTCCTGACCTTACTACTAGGAGCAAGAACGCTACTAGGGGCTCCTGGCACTAGGAGCAAAGACGCTACTAGGGTGGAGGCCATTTCTGTTGTTTTCAAGTCTACTCGGAGGTATTTCCGGGAGCTGGAGCCGCTTCTCAACCACCTGGTGCGCGTCATGTCTCGTCGCAGCACCTTGCACATCCTTTTTGCCTCTTTTTAAAAGCCCGTGTTGCCCTTACCCTTTGCTCCTAGTAGCTTCTTTGCTCCTACTTAATGAAGTAGGCGGCTACTTAAAACATACATTTGCTTCCTAGATTCATTCTAACATGAACCTACTAGCTTCTTGTTACTAGTAGCGATCAAAGACCTACTAGTAGCTTCAAGGACCTACAAGTAGCGTCCTTGCTCCTAGTAGCGATGCCAGGAGCTCCTAGTAGCTTCTTGTTACTACTAGTAAGGCACTTGTTACTAGAAGCGATGCACTTGTTCCTAGCGTCCGAACGCTCCTAGAATGTCGTCGAGAGGTGAAACACCTCCGTGTGCTCGATATGTTGCTATTAGAAGCAAGTGCCTTACTAGTAGACAATAATGACTTAATTAGAGTTGTAATTACTAGCAAAGGAATCTACTAGAAGCAAAGAACCCTACGAACGGGGCTCCTGGCATCGCTACGAACGGAGCAAGAAGCAAGAATTTATCGTTTGCTCGTTGGCCAGGCCTCGGATTGTCTTCGCAGCCAAGCTGATCCAAATTCCTTTGTGCGAGAATGGGTCCAAAACTCAGGGCGAGGAGAGTCATGCAATTCGCAAGTGATTGTTCGAAGGTGAAAACCAAAGACAACCAGGAGGCCTCTGCTTGTCAAGTCTGTTTTTGCTACTTAGGAGCAAAGGGCATCGCTATTAGGAGCAAGAATGCTACTAGGAACAAGTGCCACGCTAGTAGTAACAGGTGCCTTACTAGTAGTAACAAGAATGCTACTAGGTTTTTTTTCTGTTCATTCAAATGTGTCGGACAACTTGAAGGTGTTTGTTGCGAAAAGGTTCCCTTGAACTGGCCATGAGACATCCCATCCGCTTGCTTCGAGCGCACCATTCTTCTGGTTTTCCTTCAGTACTAGCGTGGCACTTGTTTCTACTAGCGTTCTTGTTACTACTAGTA